CCCCCAGAGAATTACCTTTTAAAATGTAAACTGAAGAGATCAAGAGCGTTATTGTGGTAGAGGTCACTCTGAAGTACAAAGGGATCGGAGTCAAACTTTTGTGTTGCAGATTCCTTTCATATCTCTGGATAAAACTCTCCTATTATGATTCCTCTTTTTCACTTAGTCAGCAAAATAGTGTTAACAATGTAAGAATCACTTGACTATATTTGTCTGCCAGGCAGTTTGCTTCTTGGAAGCCCTCTCCCTTGTGGAGGTGATCCCTTTCTTAAACAAAATATTGTCTAATATCCAGGAATATATGCATAGGGGACCAAGAGTAAAAATGCAGTTAATCTTCCAATCACAAGGCAGATACAAATAATAAAAATGGTATTATTGTAGCCCCTACAAGCCCCAGTCATGGACCAGGACCTCATTGTGCTAGGTGCTGTACAAACAGAGCAGAGAGATAGTCCCTGCCCCAAAGAGGGTACGTTAGTTACTCTCAACTATTTGGAGACTAGACCGATGTTACAGTCATTGGACTAAATTAATCCAAGTCCCTGAAATCTATGAAGTTTTCACTCTATCTCTTTGATGTGCCCATCCCCATGGAATCTGAGAGAGAATTTGGTCTATTCTGTCCAACAAACCACTTGATTAAATGACTGAAGCTTTTAGTCACTTTGTCAAATTGCCATTTCACTCAGGCACTTAGTCAAAGAGTTTAAAATATTATGATGTTTCTAGCCTGATTTTCCTGAAAAGCTGTATAAAACAGGCACTCAGACAGACTACAAAGTAATAAACAAGTGATTAAACTGGGAGTGAAGCTTCACATTTGATAACTTTAAGTTCTTCTTACATGTTTCATATATAACGAATGATAAAAATTGTGGAAGGGATATTAAACCTCTATGCTTCAGGATTTATGCCAGTCTCAAACTATCGGACAGTGGGATGAGATTTAATGTTGGGAGCAAATTATCTCACATCTGCCTCCTGCAGCACACTTATAGCTTCTCCTGAAGCATCTGGTCAACTGGTCACTGTCAGAGACAGGATACAAAACTAAATGGACCTTGGATCTCGTCCCTGTCTTCTGTTTCTGTAGACACTGAATATATATTACATATGAGAGAGGCATTTGAGTATGTTAAAACATTTAATTTTTTCCGAATTGCTTTTGCCTTATTTCATATGTTGCAAGTGAATGCCAAATCACTTGAGATGTATGAAAGCTATCCTTTTTGACTTAGTAAATCATGCTGAACACAATCTGCCATTGTTCCACGTTCTAATAAATGCAAAATCAATCTCTCTACACTCCTGGCACATCCATCAGTTGGTCCTCCGTATAACTCTTCTCTCTTAATTGCTCTTGGCATTGGAAGGATCTTCAAGAAGATGGCCTGTGTTACTTCTGTCTTAATATGTCTTCCAAGGTTTCTGAAGTAATTTGTGGTCATGATAGATCTTCCTTCACTTTGATCACTTATACCCTGGTAGACTATATAGTTATCCCTAGTTTTCCCACATGCTCACAGTACTAGCTGTTACATCTGGGAGATAGTGTAGCAGCCTATTTACTTCTCTGGGCACCGCATTCTCATCTTAGGTTGCTCACTATGGAATTACTGATCCGGATTTTTTTTCTTATTTCTTTTTGGTGCCTTTCTTGCAGTTCATGGCTCTTTGTCATTAATTGAGCTATTCTTTGCTTCTACCTATCTTCAGTTGTCTGTCTAGGTCTTACACTGCACTCAACATAGTAACATTTGACCTTATTTTGGCTTTAGTTCGATTTTTGTTGCCATCTTGGTGAACTGCAAAGCAAAAATGAACATTTAATACCAGATTTATATGCTGGAACTAAGCCCTATTAATCTTGATTAATTTAGTTAAAAATTTCTTTCACTTCCTGAAATCCACTTCGTTTTTCCTCCAGCATTGTCAATATCCCAGGATGTAAAATCACAAATAGCCGGAATGAATCCTGGTCCCATTGAATCAATGGGAGTTTTCCCATTGACTTCAGTTGGGCCAGGATCTCACCCTAATAGCCTTAATGTAACCCATATCTGATGTCACAGAATGATGCATTCTGGGATTTCTTCAGTGGAAGTACCCTGAGGCTTTCAGACTGAGAGGGAATGAGGGAGAAGAGTTTTACAGAGGTTGGCTAACATTTATTTCTGGGCTGAATATTCCCAGTTGGATTTGTGGGGTTAAAATGAATGTTCCACTTTTGCTTTGCAATTCACCTTTAATGTTCTTCTGCCATTCAGCAGAACATGCCTGTCATGTACAGTAGTACTTATTATTATTCCCACTCCACCAACGTCCAGGATTCCTGGGCTAGGCAGCTACTTAAGCTCTTATTCCGAACCTTTGACCTCACACTGACACCATGAAAAGCTATCCTTCTGACATGACAAGCAGCCCTGTGGTTTCTGGGCATTGCTGCATTTGAAGTATCTCATAAGTCTATGCAGTGTAACAGGCAAAGTTTCCTGGCTTGAAAGAAGGTCCATTGGGAAAGCAATTTATCAACACAGACGAAAGATGAGAATAGCTGAAGGGACTTTTGACACAGTGGGAGTAGCTTGGGCGGGGGCTCACCAATCTATGCACTTTGTAAGCATCCCTGCATGGGTCAAGTTGGGAGACAGTTGATTAGGAGTGATCAACCAGTTAAGAAGGGGATTCATCTCGTCAGCTGGGGCCTGTTAAATGGGAGATATGAATGGAGAGGGGAGGGCTGGAAGGAAGGGCAAAGAAGTCCAGAATCTCAGAGTGGTGAGACCTCTCTTCCCACCCTTTCACCCTATGAGAATCCTTGGGAAATACTTTCTGGTGATGCGACATGAAGCTGCATAAAATATTATAAATAAAGTAGGCTATGGTAAGAGTGCGCGAGGGCTGCTTGCAAAGAGAAATCCAGGGTGAGGGAGCCCCCCTCCCTTGACATGGCTGCATGTAGAAAAGTGAGGTTGCCTCTTGCATTGCCAGTAGTATATCCCTGGAGTAGTATATTGTTGAAAACCCCAAAACTTTTGACTAAAATGAAAAATCTTAGTCAAATCCATTTTTTGTCCAAAAAAGTTTACATATATATTTAATCAGCTCTAGTCAGTGGAGACACAAGTCCCAATTCTCCTTTCACCAATGCCAGTCTCTTATATTGGAATAATGTCATTACTTTCATTGGAGTTAGTCCTGGTTTGCCCCAGTGTCAGTGAGAGGACAATCAGGCCCAGACATGTTGGAGCTAACCTAGGGTATATCTACTCTCTGAGCTGGCCGTGTAAATTCCAACACGAGGAGACATCGGATTGAGCTAGCTCACTAAGAACAGAGTGTAGACATGGCGGTGCGAGCAGAGGGAGGGCGAGCTGCTCTGAGTACGCCCCTGTCTGAGACCCTAAGCAAGTACTCGGGGTGGCTTGCTCCTCCTGCCATCCATGCCACTGCAGCGACATTCTGTTTTGAGTGTGCTCGCTCGATGAGAGCTAGCGCGGGGGATATCTCCTTGAGCTGGGAATCGCACCCCTAGCTCGAAGTCTAGATGTGCCCTTAGCTCTCCCGTTGGTTTTACACTTGTGTAACTCCACTGCCTTCTAAAGCTATGCCTGATTCTCACGGATGTGAGAGCAGAATGGGGCTTTGTCATGGGGACCTTAATTATGTTCTTTCTTGTTTGCTGTTCTCAATATAAATAATTATTCTGGCTGAAAGTATCTGTGTATGGGGAAACAGCAATTGAGGTGTATGCTCTAAATCAACACATTTTGGCTAATAAGCTGAGATGGGTGTGGGGAATCATTGACTGACATACACCCAGCAAGCAATTCTCACAATTTAAAGCAACTCGAAATTTAGCCCACTGCCTCTGTAAAGCCTGCTACTTGTTAACGGAGACATGTTGGGGGGTGGGGTGGGGGAATTAATTCACACAAGGAATTATTGTTAAAATAAAGGTAACGGCAAAGCTTCCATCCAATATCTAATTAAATTTTTCCTAAAACAGTAGATCCATTTATAATACGTGAAGCCTGATTTTGTTCTCATAGGAATGGGCTGGTTAAGGATTTTATTACAAATATTTATTTACTCCTCTTGCCACTTGCTGGTTTTATTTTTAATGGATTTGCAAAGCTGCAGGAGAGCTGCAGGGGAGAAAAAGCCTCATGGGGAACCCTTTGTGTCTGGATGAATTGGAAAAACAAACTCTAGGGTGTTCATTTGCCATGAATCACTTTTCACATCACGTGCGTAATATGAATGAGGCGTCTGTGAATCTAGTTCCCTTTGTCCCAGTAGTAAAGCAGATCAGTACGATAGAAGAGGCGCAAGGCCAGCAAAGCAACCAACTTGAAAAGGAAGCACCATTTAGCGAATTCATTTTCAGCTATTTCAGCGCCGTTTGCTCCTTTTCTTTTCAACAGATTTAAAGAACAAACCTACAGTCCACAGGAAATGCCTCTGTTAAGCATGTCTGCTGCAGTCTAGCTAAGCATGGTAGCAGCTTTCAACAGCCTGATTCCTTCCTGCTGTCACACTGGGTCTCTTGTCACTCTAAGTGGGAGAAGAGAAAACATGCACCTCCACAGCCAAACTTTACCTTAGGAAAACAGTAGATCAATGCCATGACAGCCTCCTGCCTTGATTTCACAAGAGGGGTAAGGAGGATGAAGATTAAAGGGTTTTGTCTAACTTCAAGATAAAAATCCCAGTTGCACAATCTTTTTGTGCTAAATTACCTCTATTTTTGGCAGCTATTTATTAATATTCGGAGAATTTACATGATTTGTTTCCTCTATCTGTTATCTTTGATCTCAGCAGGAGGTTTTTATGAAGCAAAAAAACGGAACGACTAAGCTCATTCCAACTAGAAAATCAGGGCTTGCTCAGAAACTTAACCCTTTCGTCCATCACCTGGAATAGGAACCCTCCCTGGTATGCAATAACAACTTTATTGTCCCTGTAAATATAAAATGGAATTTTAAAGATCTCACCACAACTTTTGTAATATATTTCCAAATTGTTCTCCTTGCAGACTGTGTGCGTAGGCCACTCTGTGCTGAGACTGGGATAAAACAGGACTAAAATGAGAATGGCAGCATTAAGCATCTTCATGGTGGTGAAGGTGAGGTGGTCTCTGTAATTATTTCTCTCTCTTGTCACCAAGGCGAGGAGGGTAGTTTTCCACTTCCTCTCTCCAATGACTGTGACAACTGTAAGAGGTTACTATATTAACCGCCTGCACAAGGATTAAATGATCCAATACAGGCTCACAGCTTGAAACAACGTAGTGTAAGCAAGTGGCTAATCAGAATTCTGAGTGTGTTAGTTTCGTGTGTTCAGACTTCTGCTTTCTGTTTCATGTTAGTTTAAGCTAATGATGAATGATCTACTAACACCTTCTCATTGGAAAAGCTCCACTCGGCAGCCTTAATTCTTTGTTGAACTAGATAGATAACTATTTAATCTCCCCCCACCTTCCATTCTCATGCTGTAGTTGGGGACTTGGGGGGTCAGAGTGTAAGACAAGCTTAACTTGGCATTTCAGGCTGCAAAACACTGTAGGCAAAATTCATAGAATCATTAGACTGGAAGGGACCTCGAGAGGTCTTGTAGTCCTCTCCCTGCACTGATGACAGGACTAAGTATTATATTCTCCCACCCTTACTCACAGTGAGTAGTACCTTGCTGTATGAGTTGCCAGTTTACTTTCAATTAGACTGTTTGCAAAGGAAGGTACTACTCAAGGTGAGTAAGGGTTGCTGGCTGGCTTCATGTGACATCTGGAGGTAGAAAATGCCCTAATGTGGCACTCCTCTCCCCTGAGTTTAAGTTCCACTTGGACGTAAGCTCCACTTTCTGAATTTGATTGTCACTACATTTATTTTAGCAGTGAGTTTCTTTGCTAAAGAGAACAGAGCTTTGTTGTTCAGTAGACTCGATTCCCCTGGAGCCTGAGCCTTAGGAACACAGCTTCAGGAAGCATTCCGTTACTTTTGGCTGTGCTAAAAATTATTTCAGGTGTGCAATGATGACTCACCTTTCAAGTCCTGATTTAATTATTTTTGGCATTGCATTGATTAACATTCCTCCTCTGCCTCTCTTTTAAGCCAGAGCTCTGGATTTTTCTGCATATGTACTGGCTGTATACATGCACACTACTGAAGTTGTAAATTTGTAATCCAGGCTAATTGTTTCATACAACGTGGCACATGTAAACTGGCAATTCTGGAAAACAGTGAGGAATACACAGTAAAGAAGCCAGGGCTGCTTTAGCTCCAGCAAACATCTGTTGGGTTTGAGAATCAAGATTTTCAATTGGCTTTCAAAATTCAGTTGCTAAAGCAGGAATTTTTTGGACTGGAGCATAACTGGGAAAAACCTTCAGGCCAAATTCAGCCCTGCAGCAGGTACAGTAGGTGCGAGTCTATTTGGTGGAGCTGAACCAAGGCTGAAACTGGCCCCGTGGCTCGGTAAAATATTAGGCGGGCTCACCGCATCTTCCCTATTTCAAATCCTGCAAGGTGGCACGTGTGTTAGATTAATGAGACACACCTTTAGAAAAGTGGCTTTCTCCTTTGTCTGTCACTCTGCCATTGAGTAGAGTTACAGGGGGAACAAAAAGGAAGCACATATATGGTTGAGAAAACAAAAATGCATGCAACAAGTTTATTAGGAAGTAATACTTAACAACGGGAGCCCTTCGGTTCTGTAACTCCTGGGGGTGAAATCCTGGCCCCACTAAAGTCAAGAGGAGTTTTCCCATTGACTTCAATCAGACCAGAATCTGAAGCTGGATGTCTTTTTTTAAAAAACGACATTTCAATTACCAAAGCTGGCCAGTAAGATCTGCAACTCCGATGTTATGCCACCCTCTGCCTGCCCTAATTTTGGGGGGATTAATCACAGCTTTTTTCTTTAAAGGAAGTTTCCAGTCCTGTTCACCGTGCACAGAATCTTTAAAATATACACTCATGTTAATGTACTAGTAAGGGTGAAAGTCAACTGGCACTATCCTTTGTTAAAAACTCGTGTGTGTTATGGCTCCCCATACAGCCCATGAAAGCCAGATCTGAATCATGTGGTTCAGGCCCATGTCTAGTTTTGCATTCTTTAGGCACTAGTATAATAGTAAAGCATGTACTCTGTGGCCAGGTTCAGAACCCAGGCAATTGTGCTTCATGCAGAACATGCACCCTGGCCACGGGCAGGGTTGCTATACATCTGTTTGGTTTGATCGAACAATTGATCAAACACACCCAATAGCGATGTCTGATTAAAGCAAAAGAAATTACCCAGGGAACGTGATAGGGAAACTGTATCTGGAATTACTTGTGTACAGGCTGTGGTTAATTTTGATTATAACACAATCAGTGTAAACCATTCAAAATAAAATGCTCTGCCCACTAAGAACTACAAACAGTTGAAACTCAGGAGTGTCCCTGTATATTCAGTGCTACTGCAATTTGCAAAGTGTCACTGCTAGAAGCTGTTAAAGCAAAAACATGACTTCTCAAGCCAAACATTATGAATGATCATAATGGTGTGGGTCTTGGATTTCATTCTTTAATTCAAGACGCTTGTGTTCCGAAAAGGATCAGAGTGCTAACTGGTTAGAAATGGTTTTCCCATCCTGTGAAAATGTTCGCGATTAAAAAAAATTCCCGATTCCACAGACTTCCTTGATTTTTTGTGTGAAAAAATTAGAGTGAGAGAGATCCCCCACCCCAATGGTCAGGGCACTCACCTGGGATGTGGTAGTAACGGGAGAGAGAGGGTGGATCAGGGAGTTGAACCTGCATCCCAGTTGCAGGCTATTCTGGGGTGGGGGAAATCTCTTTCTGTCTCTGACTATAAATTCTGTCCTGGGCCTAAGAAACCTTTTTGATGAAATTTTATCAAAACTGATATGGTCCCACAAATTTTTTTTTGTTTTTTGATGAATCAGCATTTTCCAATCAAAAATGATTTCATCAAACAATTCTCATCTGGCTCTAGTCAGAGGGCTTATTCTTTAGTCTCCTGGGTCAAGGTTGTGATTATAGGATTCATTGCCATAGTGGGATATTCAATAATTATTTTTGTTCATAGCAGTGCTGTAATGCAGTAGGTGCTTTTCAGACATGCAAGGATGGATGTTCCCCCCCACTGATGGTCCCCCCGCACAGTCCACGGATCAACAGACTTGGGGGGAAGCAGAGCAACAAGCACAGATTTTGTTGGTACAAGTCATCCTGCTTCACTGAAGGGAGGCTGACAAGTGGTTCTTCCAGAGACTTAAATGTGGCCTGGGTAGGACGGGGCCTTGCGGATGAGCTCAGGGAACTCAGACCGTGCACAGGGGGCCATGTGGCAAAACAGTCCCCCTCTCTCTAGATGAAGAAAAGTCACCCTTTTCTGACACCGTCCTGTCACTGGCTCTAACAGTTACATCTGAAAATCATTTGTAGGTGCCTTTGGAATGTACCAGGTTGTACCAAATAACAAGTATTTTATAGACAAACATCCTGGAAGGGACACACTGACCCCCCTAGAAGGAGTTTTATTACCAATCCCATCTCCTCTGTGGACTACTCCTTCAAACATGAACAGCCCTCCCAGACTTCTATGACTTGTGGAATGAGAAGCTGTGTCTGGTCAAACAAGGAAGTATGTACCCAGGACTTTCTGTGGGCTTGTGCAGATGGTGCTGAAACCAGCTCCACAGCGTCTTCACGTCTATTTTTAGTGAGTATAGCTAGCCTGGGTACACAAACTGTCATTCGCACCCACAGCTGCAATGTGGATGTACCCTTGGTTTCCCTCTGAGAGCCCTGCAGAGCCAACGCCACTAACAGGAGTAAAGAATAGTATACTTACACTGGTCACTACTCTGTTCTATATAGATTCTTGCACTGTCACTCATGACTGTAGTATGGAGCATCTTCCAGTAGCTTGTTAAGTGATATGACAAACATCTCTCATGTTGGTTTGCTCTCTCTCTCATCCTCTCCCCAGCATGAGAATTATGTGTGCAGGGTAGTGTTTTGTTTTGTATTTTTACATGGGCATGCAGCTATGTGGTTAGATTAGAGATGACAACAACAAAAAAGTGCATCTTGTACTTGGAGCACAAGGTTTGTGATGTGACTAAAATGAGCAGAGATAACTATATATTCAAGGAACTGAGACGTTAAGAAGGTGCCATTTTGAATTAGTGTCTTCAGACACGTCCATTCTTTGCTGGTATCTCAGCCTTCCTACCTTGTGCCCTTGTGAATAATGGAAGAGGCTGGCAGGGAAATTGAGACTTACTATTGCTCAGTGCAGAGACTATACCAAATGCATAAATTTAACTTGTGCTCACCCGTTGTCAGCTCTGGTTGCTCACAACGCAAAGATTCACAGGCTCAAGGCCAGAATGAAATTTTTGCCTTTGAGTCATGCAGGCTTTCAAGATCTCCTAATGCTGAAAGTAACAACTTACAGCTAATGGTGCAAATAGAAAAAACATTCTCCTGTTCTGAATTTTGTATCCCAGTGAGAAAGATTTTGCTGGCCTCTCTGGAGCACTGTTACCGACTGGAAGGAGTCATTACGATATTTGTCAGATCTTCCACTGTGGCTGCACTGCCCCTTCCAACACTGAGTGGTTTGACTTGCTGTGCATGTTGGTGGTAGTGATGTGGTGTGAAATTATTCTGGTGAGCAATCTTTAATTAGCTAAGAACACAGCCTCTGGCTTTCAATCCACTCTGTGGGCTTCATTATGTCAGGAGTCGGTTTCTTCTGCAACAACTTCATGACCGTGTGCTCATGAGCTGGAGCAGCTGTTTGGCAATCCACTGTGTTTAAACTGGTATTGGAATCAAAACCGCAGTGGATCAATGCCTGTGTTAAAACCCATTCACTCTACCAGGTGGACTATATTTGTTTGCCAACATTGCAGCAATGATGTGCAACTTTGGATCAATGTGAATCAGCACTGCTTAGACTGTAAGAAATGACAGCTTCCCACAGCAGAGACAGATGAACTAAAGCATATTGTTTTGTGTTTCTTTGTAGTCTGCTGCTTCTCCAGGTGAAATCAATGGGAATCTGGCTCCATTTTAGCTAACTGAACTTTCTGTATGTTCAGGGGGA